TGCACAAGCAGACCCAGGAGCCAGCCCAGGGCCAGGCAGTAACTTGTCTCTCCTCTGCAGACCGGAAGCCTCCCCTCTCAGCTCCCTTAGGCGAGGCAGAGCCCCCGGGCCCTGTGGATGCCAGTGACCTTCCCAAAGTCCAGATTCCTCCTCCGGCCCACCCAGCCCCCGTGCACCAGCCGCCACCACTGCCACACCGGCCGCCGCCACCGCCACCCTCCAGCTACATGACCGGCATGTCTACCACCAGCTCCTACATGTCCGGAGAGGGTTACCAGAGCCTGCAGTCTATGATGAAGACCGAGGGCCCCTCCTACGGAGCCCTGCCCCCAGCCTACGGCCCGCCAGCTCACCTGCCCTACCACCCACATGTCTACCCCCCCAACCCGCCCCCACCACCAGTGCCCCCTCCCCCAGCCTCCTTCCCCCCACCTGCCATTCCTCCCCCAACTCCTGGCTATCCCCCGCCTCCCCCCACCTACAACCCCAACTTTCCACCCCCACCCCCACGCCTGCCCCCCACCCACGCAGTCCCCCCTCACCCTCCTCCAGGCCTGGGCCTGCCACCTGCTAGCTACCCACCTCCAGCTGTCCCCCCAGGAGGACAGCCACCTGTGCCCCCACCCATCCCCCCACCTGGGATGCCTCCAGTTGGGGGGCTAGGGCGGGCAGCCTGGATGAGATAACGTGATGCCTTTTTTTTCCCCCTTTGTTTTTTTAACAAATGTTTTTCTAATCAACTTGAAGAGTAGTTTAAGTGGGTAAGCCGCAGGGTACCTTATCTAATGCTAGAGAGTTGCAGTATGGGAAGAAACGGACTGGACCCGAGATGAAATTGGGGTGGCCCTCCACATCTGGAGAATGGGGCCAACGGCTTTCAGCGTAGCCTGGGCAGCACCAGTCTCGATCCCACCACACATTTGGTCTCAGCTGGTGGAGTCCTGCACTGGGTTCCTTGTACTCAAGAAAACGTTAACCAGCCATATTGGCTCAAGAAATAGCTTCAGTAAGGAGTGAATTTCCTTCTAGAAATCAGTGCCTATTTTTCCTGGAAAATCCATTTTAAATAGTCCAGTTCCATCTGAAGTCAAGCTGTTGTCATCGCTTTCATTCTGTGACGTTCTTTCCCAACACCCAGTAGGTCAGACAAACCACTTTGTTGATTTAGAGATATTTACATCCTTTGTATTAATCTTATTTTGAAGGGGTTGCCTAGTTGGATGGCTTTGTTCTTTTTCTTCCAGAGAGAAAGGGAGAAATGTACTTGGAAAGTAATGTATGTTTACATCAATTTGCAAATTCCTGTACATAGAGATATATTTTTTAAGTGTGAATGTAACAACATACTGTGAATTCCATCTTAGTTACAGACGCGGCTCCCTCGGTCAGTTATCCCAATAAACCTGTTGTGAAACGACCGTTTTGTTTCTTCCACACAGAAGGTGGGGCCCCGAGAGGCAGCTCTTCCCCTTGGCCCTGGGGGCTGCGGGGCAGGCAGCAGAGGGACACTGGCCTTGCAAGCCCCAGACCTGACCCCATGTCACCCAAGGCAGCGCCCCCAGGGGTCTGCCCTCACGGACCAGCTCCTACCCCCGCCCCGTGCCTGCATGGGCTCCCCTCGGAGGAACCCAGGCGGTTCTGAACCAGCGTGGCGCTCTCACACGCACCCATGCAGATGGGCTCCCGGGTCCCACAAGGGCTCGGATTGGAAATTTCTTTCCACTCGCACCATCAGCGTGGCCGTCTATGGTCTCCAACACTGGGCAGAACCCCCATACCCGAGGTGCTCCCCGGGGCTATGGCCCTCTACCCAGCGGCCCCCCCACCCGAGACAAGCACTGCGCACCCACCACAGAGGCTTACAAAGAGCCTTTATTTATCTAGCGCAAAGTATACACTATCACAATCTTCTGTTACTCCTTTTACTAAAATAGTTCAAATCAGTGTTTTTACCACACTATCAAAAGTTCTAGCGCTTTTTCTCTCCCCAAATCAAAGTGGTTCAGTGGAAGGTAGAAACGGGCACAGGGGTCCACAGCTCCCAGCTCTGCCCGGAGCCGGGCGAGGGGCCGGCCCCGGTTCTCGCGGCGGGCACCCACCACAAAAAACAGCATGGCTGACGGCCCAGGGCTGGGAACCAGACGTTTCAGCCCGATTCCAGAAAGCAGCACAAATACCCCCCCACCCACCCACAGTATGAAAAATATACACCTCTACCACTCCGCTCATGCATTTAGCTTGTTTCCTTAAAAAAAAAAAAAAAATCAGTAGTATGTATTTTGCTTCTTCTCAAGTTTCCAAGAAAAAAAAAAAAAATGAAAGGTCACTTTTTCTGTTTAAACACTGATGTGTAGCTAATAACTTTTGGATAAAAATGTGCCACCCTAAAAAAATGTGCTCAGCAGATTCTGATCCCAGGATGGGCTTGGCCACCTGGGGTGAGGCTGGAAGGGTGACATCCATCACAGTGGGAACTGAAGCCCCAGTCCAGATGTCACACGGGACTTCAAGATCTAGAATCAGAGTATGAAACGTAAAGGGACCTTTATGAAAGGGCACCGAGTTCAGCAACACCCGTCCCCCACCATGAGCTTCTACAGCTAAGGCTCCAGAGGGGAGATCACCCAACATCACCCAACGCACGTCCGAGCTGCTGGCAGGGCTGGGACTCGTGCTCGCCTGGCCCCCGGCTGTCCCCACAGTGAGGCTCCTCTGATCCCCTCTAGCCTGTGGGCTCCCACTGCACCCACCCAACCCCTGCCCTGTGGGGCCAGGCAGAGGTGCTGCTGGCTTTTTTTGTTTGTTTGTTTGTTTTGGTTTTTTTTGTTTTGAACAGCTTATTATGTTAGATGACTGTCACAGGTGCAGTTCTGTCCTTGAAAGCCATCCCCACGCACTTGGCTCAGCAACACGAGCAGCGGTGGGAAGGAGAGGTCTGCGCCTGGCTCTGCTGCCTGTGTGGCGCACAGGAGGATCCAGGCAGAAACGCCCCACCTGACCCCCAGGTACCCCACAGCATGACGGACAGGGTCACCTTCCCGAGGCAGGGACGGTCCCTTCGAAGCTGTTCTTCTCTGGGCCAGTGTGCAGGAGATCTGCAGATACCAGGGCCCTGATTTATTGCTAATGTTCAGTGGTGGCCAGGCCGGCCTGATCCAGACATGACAAATGGGCTCCCACCCAAAAGGGACCCACCCCCGCACCTCGGGCTGCTCTGTGGTTCTTTGGACTCCAAGATCCAGAGGGGAGCCTCTGTCCCTCAGCTCACTGCCCACTAGGGCAAGAACTACTTGGTACCATCACCAAGGATGTTCCCTCGCTTTCGATGCACACCCCTAGTGAGAGGGAGCTTCAGGGAGAGCCCAGAGGTCCCTGTAACACCCAGAGCAAGAGGAACATGCCTGTTGCTGCCACCAGCACCCACTTAGCATTCCCTGGGCACAAGGAGGGCTATAAGCCTTTCCCCTGAGAGTGTACGACTCACCCACGGGCGCCGATGGCCGACAGGCGGTGGGAATGGCACAAAGTCCCCCCTGGGGCTCTAGGAACAGGGTGGCCTCCCCCATCCCCTCTCCTGGCCCCCGTCCCTCGTGCCGGCCTGGATGAGGCCTGCCCGCTGCAAAAGTGGCCTCCTGGGCTCTTCCAGTGCTTGAGGCATGGAGCCAAGCCCCACCAGCCAGCAGAGGTGGCGGGAGCGAGCAGCCAACACGGCCAGTGCCCCCCGCCCGCACTTCCCAGCATCTGTGAGTTCGTCTGTAATGTGCCCCGACCACCCACCCTCTGGGCCTCACCTTCCTCAGCAATTTCAACATTTGTTTATCTCATCTGTAGTTTGTATATGGTCATTTACACGGAAGGTCTCGTTTGATCCCAAGCCCCACGAAGAGGGCCTGAGGCTGTCCCTTCTCAGTGGAGGACACTGAAGCTCAGAGAGGGGAGGTGGCAGCACCTGTGAAGAGGCAGCAAGGCAGTGGACCCCGCTCGGTCCCCGGCTCCGTCCGGCCCAGCCAGCAGTGGCTTCTGCAGCAGGGGGAGCACCCGGGCGTGCGGGCCGCGACGGAGGCCCGGGCTGAACCCAGCTGGTGGCCTCGGGTGGTGAGCACGGCCCAAAGAACCTGAGACCTCGTCTTCCCACCAGGGGCCTGGAGAAGCTGAGTCACACAGCCAGTTAAAGCCAGAGCCAGGTCGGGCTCCTTCCAGAGAGGGCAGAAGTCCCCCACCGGCCAGCCCGTGCAGCTCCGTCCACAGTGACCCCGGCTGGGGCTGGGCTCTGGGGGACACCAGAGACCCAGCTCGGCCCGGTGCTGCCCATCTGGAGAGAGAGCGTGGGGCTCGGCCCAGAGACTCTCCACACAGCCTCCTAGCTCCCTGGCCCATCATGTGAAAGCACAGAGATGGAGAGGCCTCGGGTCCTGGGCAGCAGGGACCCAAAAAGCTAGGGCATGACCTGCCCCGGGGTGGGAGGGGAGACTCTGCAGCGAGTGATGTGTTCGGGGCTGGGGGAAGCACCCTGAAACCAAGCAGCAGCTTGCAGCAGGGAGCTGGGCACGGGGCGGGGCGGCAGGGGTGCCAGAGGAAGGGCCTCAGGGCCTCCAGCCAGCCACAGACACCATGAGCTTCCCTGTTCCACGACTCGGACGCGGGCTCAGTGAGCTGGGGTTCAGGCCGCAGATGGGTGAGAAGGGGTGCCCCTTGTGTCAGGTCCAGCTGCCGGTGGCCTCTGTCCAGTGTGGGCAGCAGCCAGCGGGTAGAAGGCTCGATGAGGTGCCCCTCGGCCAAGGCCGGGCCCAGCCTGGGATGCCAGGCCCTGAGCCCCCACACAGCCTTCAGCCTCCCGGCAGCGGGGCCCCAGCGCAGGGACGAGGCTGTTTGGGCCGCTCTGCCGTGGGGCACGGCCGGCGGCCTCTCGTCTTCCGTGTGCTGGTGCGTGAGGAGGGAGACGGAGGCCCGGCTGTCAGCGTGCTGGACCCACAGGGGCCGGGTCACGGCGGGCAGTGTCCTATGTACAATTCACCACAGGAAACAAACATGGGGGCCTGCAACTCCTCCTGGGCGCCCTGCAGGGCCAGTCCATGTCCACAGAGAAGCAGCCCTACAAAGGCCCCTTGAACTGGTTCCCAGACAGGTGCTGCCGGATGGAGGGCTTGGAGCTGGCCGCGTCCCCTAGTTTTCGCCAGACCACCTGTGGATGGGGCGAGCTGTGAGTGCAGAGCCCACCCGAGCCCACCTGCTGACCCGGGCACCCACACTGCCTCGGGCCCCTCAAAATCACCCAAAAATTCCCCACAGCTGTGGGGCCCAGAGGGGAAACTGAGGCCACATGAGGCCCAGAGAGGCAGGAGGCAGCAGAGGAGGTGGGTACAGAACACCCGGCCCCAGGTGAGGCCCAGATTCTGCCCCTGCTGCCTCCTAAAAAGGGTCCAGAGATGACACACCCCGGCCAGGCAGGTCAGGGCTGAGCTCCCCGTTCTGGGCAGCCACAGAAACAGCCCAGCTTCCAGAAGCAAACGCAGCCCCAGCCTTGCAGGCTCTCAGAGCAGAGGGTCCTGCCCGACCTCTGGTCTGAACACCACCTGTGTGGCCAGCAGCCACTGGGGGCCACCAGGGGCCATGGGATGGGATATGCGGGGTGAACGGTGCCAGTCCGAGGGGGCTGGGGGCGGAGCTCCGGGAACGGACAGGCCTGGAGAGGTCAGGGCCCCCACTCTCAGGCGGAAGTGGGACGGGCAGTGGGGGGAGGACTGGCCAGGGCTGTCCAAGCTCCGGTGCCTTCCCCCAGGCCTCCAGGTCACGCCAGGACCCGCCCTGCTTGCAGCCCCGCACCCTGGGCCCCAGACCCCAGACCCCCACCGCCGAGCCCCGGGAAGCGCCTCACGTTGCACATCTCACGGACGATGGCCTTCTCCTTCTCACTCAGGTCCTCCTCACAGCTGTCCTGGAGTTGCCGGTCCAGGTTCTCGTGCACCTCCAGGACCTGCGGGGAACCGGCCCCAGGGTCAGGGGGAAGGCTGCCCACGGACGCCAAGGATCCCGAGCCACTGGGTCCCAGCCAGCATGAGGGGCATGGAGAGACCCATGGGGGGGTCCTCTTCCCTTACCCTAGCAAACTTCCCCCAAGGTAAGCCGCACCCCCAACATCACAGCTGGGGGTGAAGCTGAAGCCGGGTCCCCGGGGAGCAGGGAGGACAGGCTGGTGGGGGAACTACCCTCAGACAGGTGTGCTCATTCCAACCGAGGGCCCCCAGCAAGCACCCACTCACACAGGGTGAGTGCGTGTGTATGTGTCCCAGTCACTGCCCCCACCAATGTAAGAATGCTGTTATCTGTGCAGACAGGCCTGCGCACCCGGGGCACAGAGCACTTATGTCCATGCACGGGTGAGGGGTGGGGGGCACGGCCACGGTGGGTGGGGCCCAGCGAGCCAGCCCCCCGGGAGCTGTACTTGCGAGTGAGGACGGGCCTCGGAGGCCAGAGCCTGGTCCCACCCCAGCCCTGCCCCCACCTCTCTTAGAGGGGGTGCCCACCCTCCCCTACCTGGCCCAAGTACGTTTCCCGTCACTGGGATGGCAGGTGGGTGACAACCTGCTGCCAACAGACACCTCCAACTCCCTCCCCCAAGATGTTCCGGGCTCAGGGCCCCTCCCCACCGCCCCGCTGTGGCGACACGCACGGACTCAGAGCACATGCAGGGTGGAAGGTCCGGGGTCTGCACTGCACCAGGGACCTGGGCGCCACCCCCCCCCCCCCCCTGCCCCCCCCCCCCCCCGGAAGCAGCCTCTGGGTGTGGGTGGGCGGGGCCTGACCCTCACCTTCATGGCGTGCACAACAGCCTCGGGCTTCTGTCCGGTAGAGCTGTAGCCGGCGGAGGGGGGCAAGGACAGCTCAGGTACTGTGCAAGCTGGGCCCTGTGGGAAGGAATCGCAGGGCTTAGCTGGTCCCCGGCGGCCCCCAGGTGGTGGCCAGAGGGGCGCCCAGTGGCAGGGAGAGGTCCCTGACTAATGCAGGAGAAGCTGAGGGCCGAGAGCTGCTGGTGAAGAGGCGGGGTGCGAGGCCCAGGCCGGGGCAGAGGACGGGGGCCACCCCAAACCCCACCCCAACTCGCAGGCTCCTCTCCGCAGCCCACGTGCAGGGTCTGTCCTCTGTTTCCCAGAGGCAGTGAGGGCAGCTCAGAGAAGAGCGGGGGCTGGCAAAGATCCCCCAGCAAACCCCAGGTTTGCCCCCTTCCCCCGATACCAGGTGAGTGGGCTAACTAGACATCGCCCCCACTCCCCCTCCGCAGGGACACTCTTCTGACCCTGAGCCCTGCCTCCCAGCCCTGAGCTTCTGGCCCGTCTGGCCACCTGAGGCGTGCCACCAAATTCAGCAAACATTTTTTTAAAAATAAAATAAAATAATGACTGCGTTTATTTATTTGAGAGAGAGAGAGGGCAGAGAGCATAAGCATTTGGAGGAGAGGGGCAAAAGGTGAAGCAGGCCCCCTGCTGAGCAGGGAGCCCGATGCGGGACTCGATCCCAGGACCCTGGGATCACAACCTGAGCCGAAGGCAGACACTTAACCGACTCAACCACCCAGGCACCCCTCAGCAAGCACTTCAGATGGCAACCAAGCGCCCAGCTCCCCACAGCCCGGGGAGCAGGGGACAAGGCCAGGTGAAGAGGGGAGTCAGCCTTCTGGAGTCAGGCCCACCTGTGTCAGAGGCTGAATGTCTGCCCAGGGGCCCTAGCTGCTTTTCAATGGAATTACTGGACCAGTTGGTGTGCCTCAAGCTGTAGGGGGACCCCGGACTTCGGGCCCCAGTAAAGGAGGACTGGAGGATGGAGCTCCCTGGGGCCAACACAAGCCGGGAGGTCAGAAGACACTGGGAGTGGGTCTAACGGGGGCCAGCAGGTGCTGGAGGCCAGACAGAAAGCGGCAAGCGCCCCGGGAAACGTGGGTGCAAGCAGCCGGGGAGAGGCTGGGGAGCCGGGGTGCCCTGCACATCCGTCCCTCCTCTGAGTCTCAGTTTCCTTCTCAGTCACTGAACCCCAGTGACCAGGTGGACTTGGTGAGCTGGTTTCTAGGGCCATCACCCGGGGAGCCTGCCCAGCCCAGCCATGCTGTGTGGGCTTGGGCAAGGCCCTGAAGTAGGGCTCAACCCATTCTGTGCCTCAGTTTCCTCATCTGGATGATGGAAAGGGTTCCGGTGTCCCAGGTTATGTGCAGAGCCCCGGCACGCTGTCCGATGGGCGCAAAACACACACACACCTGCCCGAAAGCAGGTGCACAGTCTGAGGCGAAGGCTGAGCGCCCTCCACCGTTGGCCAGCAGGGGGCGACAGCCACACGCATTCAGCCCTGGAAGGCACCAGATGCCTGGGCCCTGGCACCTCTGGCCTCCCGTCCCATCTGCAAGTGGGGTTCCCTGAACAGCCTGCTCTGTAAGGGCACCAGGGGCTGCTTCCCAGAGCACAGGCAGGATGGAAGCCAGGAGTGGCCCGGACAGCCTTTCCCTGACCCGCCTCACCAGGCTGCCAATGAGCACGTGGCTGCAGGTCCTGTCCACGAAGCCAGCGCTGGACGTGTAACCCGGGTCAGAAGTAAACGCCGTGGGACTGGAGCTTGCAGGGGGCTGTGGCGGGAGGGCCAGCCCAGCGACACCTCCCACTTTCTCGGCACCCACCCCCCCACCCAAGAAACCCCCTGATTTGCTATCTTCCTGCACCCCCATGTGACAGATGAGGACAGAACCATGGGTCTGACAGAAGGCTCGCAGGGCTCAAACGGGATCTGGGGTTCCAGAGCTGGTGCCCAAAGTGGGGAGTCGAGTGTGTCCCCAAGAGAACAGAAGCCACACGACCACTCGTCCAGAGCGTTCGCAGAGGTGCTCCCCACGCCAGGCAAAGCGTGGACACCGCTCAGATGTCCAGCCGCTAAGCGGGGGTGGGGGAGGGGGAGGGGGTGCCTGCACCCATGGAGTATCGCCCGGCAACACAAAGGTAGGAGGTTCGAGCCCACGGCATCGCCTCCAAAACACAGCACCCCGCGGATGCGGCCAGTCACAGAGGGTGGCCTGCTACAGGACTCTGCTGCTAGGAAATGTCCAGGGGGCACCTGGGTGGCTCAGTGGGTTAAAGCCTCTGCCTCCGGCTCAGGTCATGATCCCGGGGTCCTGGGATCGAGCCCCGCATCGGGCTCTCTGCTCAGCATGGAGCCTGCTTCCTCCTCTCTCTCTACCTGCCTCTCTGCCTGCTTGTGATCTCTGTCTGTCAAATAAATAAATAAAATCTTTAAAAAAAACAAAAAATGTCCAGAATGGGCAAGTCTGCAGAGGCAGGAGCACACCCGTGGTTGTGCTCAGCCAAGGCAGGCGAGAGTGGGGAGGGGTTGCTAAAGGGGGCGGAGTTCCTCTGTGGGGTAAGGAGATGTTCTATTGTGATAACTACAGCAATCTGTAAATATGCTAAAAACCAATTAAGTGAGTCATCAACCCCTGCACTGGGCTCCTTGCTCAACGGGAAGCCTGCTTCTCCCTCTCCCACTGCCTACCGCTCGCCCAGCTTGTGTTCCCTCTCTTGCTGTCTCTCTGTCAAAATAAATAAATTTAAAAATGTTTTTTAAAATAAATAAATAAAGTCAACTGACCCGAAAAGAAAAAAGGCAGACGACCAGTCTCCCCCCAGGGACTGTCAACAGCCTTGACCCTGCTCTCGGAAGACTGGTACTCAGCCCCCTTCCGAGGCCAGCTCCTTCCATGGGGCCTGGAGTCCCAGGGCCTGCTGGACCCTGCCCCATGGCACCCTGGCCAGTGACCCTCGTCAGGGAGAAGCTCGGGGGCCCTGGGCAGACATGCAGCCTCTGACTCAAGCAGGCAGGGAGTGGGGAAAGTGGACAGAGACAGAGGTAGGGAGGGCGGGGACAGCCAGCCTGGTGAGGAAAGGGGGTCCAGGTCCCTGCCCCACAGGGTCACCCGTTTCACCTTGGGATCCTCTGACCTGTGGGCTACCTGTCCCCCAACTCCCAGGACCTGCAGGTAACCTCACAGAAGACACACCAGGTGTGGGAGATCTGGGCCCCCAGCGGCGTCAGGCATGGAGGGTCCCTCCAGGGCCCAGCAAGGGCTTGCTGCCCTAGCAGCTCCCCAAGAGTGCTCCTATAGAACCTCTGGGCCTCCCCTGGCCCCGGCAGGTCACGAGATGGACTGAGCCTCACCCCTGCCCTACAATGTCGACCAAGGATCCTGGAGGCACCGGGTCTCCAAGTGAGTGGTGTGGCCCTAGGGAGGGGCTCTTACGTTCTGCATCGAGTCCTGGTAGGAGGGCGGGAGGCTTGCCAGCTGGGACTCCGAGTGGTATGGCGAGAAGCCTTTCCGCAGCGTCCGGAACTCTCCAGGGCCTGCCTGCTGTGAGGGAAGGGGGACAGGTTAGAGGTGAGTGGCTGTGCTGGGGGCACCAAGGGCCGGGCTCTTTCAGGACATGGTCAGCTGCTCCTGCCTGCCCCTCCCCCGGCACCAGCAGTGGGCTGCACCCTCCCTCCCCTCTCCCTGCCCCATCGGTCCTCACTGCCACCATGTGTTGGTGCCACAAAGCCGGAGGGCTTCAAGCTGCCCCCCAGCACGTGCTTTATCAGCGTTTCTCGAACAGAGTAAACGAGTAAATGAGTATGGCCTCCCACGCCCACCCTCCTTCCTCTGCTCCAGCATCCTGCACTGGGCCCACCCCCTCCCGTGCCTGGCCTGGGGAACACTCCCTCCAGCCCCGGGGGGTGCTCCCGCCTCTCACAGGTGAGCCTGTCCCTGTGAGGTGCTCAGGCTGCCCTCAGCCTCTGCGGTCGGACAGCAGTTCCCAAATGTGAGCTCTATGTCCACAAGAACCAGTGCCTGCTTAGGAAGGGGGGAGGGGGATCTGCAGGAGGGACAGAAGGAAGGAGTGAATGGACATATATTTGGCCACAGGAGATTTCCCTCAGGGCAAAGCAAATGCCCCTGGAAGCTGGAGGCTGAGATCAGCAGAGAGAGGGGACCCAGGGGTCACGCTTAATCCCACACAGGCCCTCTGAGAAGGAGCCATGGCCTCTGGGGCCCTCCGCATCACTCAGAGCCCAGGGGGTGTTTCTGGCCCAGATCCTTCAAAGGATCTGAGGGCATGCTGGGGGGCAGACAAAACACACAGAAGGTCCCATAAGTCCCCAAACAAAGCCTGGAGGGCAGGGGGTTGGTGAGCAAGACAGTTCAACAACCACGCCCAGGGGTGGGGGGGGGGGTCCTGCCTCCTACACACCAGCCCCCGCACTCCCCGCCGGCCCCGGAGGGATGCACTCACAGCCTGCTCCCCTCCCGCCAACTGCCGGACCCAGACCCGCTTCTCACGAGTCTCCAGCCTCACCGACTCCCTGCCATCTCTCCTGTCCCCATCAGACCCAGGCCCAACCCCTCGGTCCCAGGGGCCAGGTCAGAGGGCACAGAGCAGCACCCTGTAAGGGTCTGGGGGACCGGAGTAAAAATGCAAGGCAGCAGGTGCGTGGAGGCTTCCAGAGCAAACACCCGACAGCAGCTCCAAGCCCTCACCGCCTGCTCTCCACCCCCACCCAGGCACCCTGGCCAGAGCGGAAGGATTCCCATGGCCTCCAGGAGAACCTGAGTGTGAACAAAGGTCACCAAGAGGCACAGGACAGAAGTGGGGACGCCCCCTCCAAGGATGGCCCCTGAAGTGTGGCAGGGTATCCCCAAGATCCCTCGATATGTGATTGCCCCCCACCCCCGGATTACGGCCTCTAACCAGAGCCATGTTAGTCCTCCCTGGCCCAGCCAGAGGTCCGATCTCCCAGAGCGCCCCGTCACCAGGCACCAGAAAGAGGCCACAGTGCTGACCCTCACTGCCCACCCCGGGGGACTCCTCTGCCCATCAGAGCACCTGTGCCTCCCTGACTCGCCCACGGTGGGCGGGGGCGTCAACCAAGCTTCAGGCGAAGGCAATTATCTCCCTGGCTGGGTGTCTGCGACAGTTCCAAACTCTTCTCCAGCAGTATGTGTTCTAAGCCCAACGACACTGAGCGTCCGCATCCAGTGCCACCAGGTCCTTGTCAGGCCCTCTGACCCCATCCTGCGGGAACACGCCTCACTGGCCTCACCAGGCTGGCAAAAAGGGACCAGGTGCAAGGCTCAGCCCAGCTCACACACATTGACATTTGGCCACATGGCCAAGGATTTGAGCCACCGCTCTCTCCGACCAGCCCCTGGCACCAGGACAGCTGGACGTTGTCCTGCCCTTCCCCCACGCCGTCTAGATCCTTCTCTGGGCTGAGTCTCAATTCCCACACAGCTCCTCTGGCCCAGGACCCAGCAGGTTCAGAAGCAACTCACGTGCTGTTACTGAAAACAAAACAGGTTTGTGTTGACTCCTCCCTCCACACCAGATAAATTCCTGGGAAGGATGTGTGTGTACAGGGGGGTGGGGGGAGGGTTTAAATCAGCGCGTGCAATTCCCACCCCTGCCTTCAGCGATCATCTATAAATATTCGCACGTCCACAGAACTTTATTAGCGACCCACAAAGCTGGCGGGAAAAACACACAATCTCTCATTAGGGGCAATGTGACTAATGATGCATCAAAATGAGGGACCATAATTGCACTTAAACCCAAATTAAAAATCCTGGGATGCGCCTGTTGGTGCCCTGGAAGAATGAAATCCCGAGGTTTTTAATGTGGAGGGGCAGTGGAGCTGAAAGGGCCTTCTGGGATGGTTGGGCCTGCACCTGCGGGGGGCTCAGGAAGGTTCAGGAAGCAGGGAAAGGATGTCTGCCCAGCCACAATCCCAAACATGGGTCCCTCAGGACACAAGGAGAAAGGATCTGTCACACAGAGTGGAGGAACTCCCACATCCTTAAAAGTAAAAGAAGCATCGCGTGCAGACAGAGACTTGCCCCCTCCGGCCGGGAGGGAGAGACCCAGGTGGCCACAGGGCTCCCAACTCCACTAAAGGACACAGAGCCTCCGTCCAGGGCTGTCACTGCACCGCCGCCAGGCTCCGGGCCACCGTGCACTCGGGCTACCCCAGCCTCTCTGAACCCCCGTGGTCCTGCGGCAAGCTCCCCAGCCATCGCCTTCCAGAGGACTCCTGGGGAACACCTTCAGAGGGGTGCTGGAGCAGAAAAGTCAGGATACAGAGGAAGGACCCTGCCCAGCTCCCCCACCTGCCTACGTGGGGCTTCCTGTCTGGGCAGCGGCTGCGGGCGCGCTCACTCCGGGCAGCTAGCCTCACCCCTCCTTCCTGCCCCCAAAGGGCTTGGGTCCCTGTGGGACCACGTGCCACAGGGGCACCTCCAGTGTGCACCCGACAGGGAGGCCGCGTCTGACAGGTAACACGGGGACTGCTGTGGGGGCTCTGTGGTGAGCCCTAATGTAGGGACATCCGGAGACCACTCAGACCCCCGGACACGGGCTGGGAGAGCTGGGTAAGAAGGGCCGTGGGAAGCCGTGGGTCCCCGCTGTACTGCCATTGTGTGCAAAGCTGCCCGTGAATGCCAGCTCAAAGTGGGCAGAACCAAGGCACCCTGGTGGTGGCCAACTCCCAGGAAGGGACAGGAGGGGACCCGCAGAAGACAGAGCAGCACACAGCACTCAAAGCAGTCCCCACCCCCAAACACCACTGCAAACACGTCCCGCCAGGCAGCTCTACCTGAAGCCAGCTTCTCGGGCGGCCGTAGGGACGGGGCAGCTGGAAGGGAAGAGGAGCGGTGTCACCCAGCAGATGCCAGCCACGACCCCCCTCCCCGCCATTCCCCTTCCTGGACACCTGTTCACCCAAAGCTGCCAGGACCTCAGTTGGGCTGGGGCAGGCACCTCCGGAGAGCCCCCATGTTTTTAGAAACCCCCGTGTCTCCAAGGGCTGACCGAGCACCCAGCCCCCTCACAGCCCTCCCAGGGCTCACGCGGGGACCCCGCAGACCCGAGAGGCCAGCCCACTACACTGGCCTGGAGGTGCCCCAAGATCCCGGCACAGCAGCCGGCAGAGGCAAGGAAGGGGCACTTCGAGGCTGCTCACAAGGGCGTCCTGCTACTACCTACCAGCCAGACTTAATCTCCCTTAATTTTCAGAGAACCCATCTGCAGACCATCAAGAAGGACGTGGCTGCATGGCTGGGGGCCCAGAAAGTTCTGCCTCGTGAGTGCTCCGAGTGGGCCGGGAAGGTCCCACATGTGGCTAATAGGACTTCTCCGCAGGGAGATGGCACCACATCCCAATGCCCCACGCCATTTCTGGCCCTAAATCCCAGTTTTCAAACCTAGGGGTGTGTTTGCTGCCCAGGACCACGTGGCTGCGACTGACAGGACCATCGGCCCTCACAGGTCCCCATGACAGCCCAGTACTTGTTCCAAGAGGGTGAGCGAGGGACAGGCGCAGGACCCCGCAAGAAGGGGTGAGGGATTTGGGGGGGACACAGACTCATGAAAACCAAATCCCACCCAGGCTGGGGAAGTCTGGGCAACTCCTCAGCTTTCCAGGGCTCTGTTGTTTGCACATAAATTAGGATCAAGAAGGGCACCCGGCTGCCAGGTGGCCCACGGCTCTCACCGCTGGCCAGCCCTGGTCCTGGGGCGTTGCGGGATCATCGTCCCTTTACACCTAGGGCAGGCGCTCTTAGTGTCCCCATCTGATAGACGAGGAAACTGAGGCCCAGAGAGGTGAAGCCCCCGGCCCCACACCACCCAGCCGGTAAGGCAGCACTCTGGTGATCTGAACCGGGCCCTGTGGCTCTGCCACCCAGCATGGGGTTCACAGTGGACAATGATTAAGCCTCGGGGACAGAGGTAGAATTCCCCGTCTCTTCCTGCCCACGTTGCTAGCAGACCATCTGCTTGGATGCCGGAAAGAAGAGGTTTCCTCCCTGGCTCAGGGAGAGGCCGGACCATCTGGAAGTTTCTGCTAACAAAATAACGTAAGCCCTCCAGGGGAGCAGAGACCACCCACCCCAACAGAGGGAATAGGACGTGACCACCACCCTAGACACCGAACAGGGAGAGCAGGGATGGCTCAGAGCCGGATGGCAGCGACCTGTGTGGGAACACAGCACCTCGGAAATGCCGGGGGCCAGCTTCCCTGGAGGGCCTACCTGGGCAAGGCAATCAGCCCTCGGGATCACCCGTCCTCCTCGGGGACTCAGACGACAGAACCAAGGTCCCAGCACGGGCTGAGATGGTGGCAGACTATTCCCCTGTCCCCCAGGCCAGATGGCTCAAAATGCAGACAAGGGCCACGAAGGAGCCGTTCATCTAGGGACACAGGGGTGAGGACGAAGGGGGCTAGGCCTGCACGGCCGCCTCCACTCCCCTCCATGGCAGCCCATGTTTTCTCAGCTCCTGGGCGAACAGGGAGGCTTCATTCATCAGCCCAGTGAGGGGGGCAAACCAAGGGAACCAAGAGCCAAGCCCCAGCGTCAATGCCAGCCACCCCCATGCCAGCCCAGCCGCGCACAGAAATCCCCCAGAAAAATAACAACGTGTGCAGGGGGCTCAAAATGAATCATCACAGAGGAAGCAGCTGTGTTGATGAAATTTTAAAGCCAACGCGAGAAGGAAAACACGAACTGCAATATAGTAATTTAGTTCTGTGAACAGGCTGGCACATTTTTAATTAAAGCTATTTTAGAGTTAAATAGAGGCCATGAGGGGAGGGGCGGGGGCAGTGGGAAGTGGGGGCCTCAGAGGATCTCCACCCTCTGGCCCAAACCCTGAAGCCACACCCCTGAAGGTGGTTCGAAGACGAATCCTGCTCTCTCCCACTTTTCACCAAAAGGCAGGTGCTCTTGGCTCTTTGCAGAACTGGAGGTTTCTGAGCAATTTGATTTCGGTGAAGAGACTTATATGCCAGCATCATCAAGTCAGACAAGCCAGGGCCCATGAGGTCCAGGCAGAAATCTCTCTCTCCAGGATTCCCAAATCCATCCCTTGATTACCTCCAAAGATGGCACACTCACTACCTTAGTGAAGCAGAACTTCCTTATTTTGGGCAACAGCCAGCCTTCCCTCCTGGCCTAGGACTCTGGGTGGGTGGTGGCCAGGGCCTCCCCAAGATGTATCCACCCCAGTCTAGCTGTGCTAAGCACTGGAGAGGCTGATGTGACCTCACCGATGTGAGAGCCAGCATCCCAGTACTTGAGTGGCTGATGGTCCAGCAGACCTGGGGGCTGGGCTCCCCAAGGGAGGATCTCAGAAACTAGCAGCTTACAGGGCTGAGAGCCCAGACTAAGTGCCGAGCCCCCTACGGGTGGTTGGGGAGGCTGTCGGTAGGAGGCCATGACTGAGCTGGAGGCCGAGAAAGAAGAAAAAGTAAACCCCTTCTTCTCTGGACTCCCCTAGAATGGGGTCAGGACTGTCACTGTGGGCCTGCAGCAGCCCCCTGTGCACACGAGTCCTGCGAGCTGGTGAAGGAGGTGGGCAGGCCTGGGCCTGGTCACCCCCATGCCCCAGGACCATCCGTTACACATAACGTGTGTGCACACCCATTTTCCAGGTGAGGAAGCAGAGCGGTGCCATCTGATCCGCCACAGGAATACAGAAGCAAGTGACATGTGAGTGCCACCAGGAAGCCAGGAGCAGGGCAGGGGGCCCCCTCGCTGTCCATGTCTCTCATCTCTCCTGCGTGGCTCAGAACAGCGGCGTCTGCCTCTGCAGCCAGCACCACCGACCCACCCTCAAGGCCAAGCTCTGGTGACAGCAGGTGACAGAGACAGACATCCTGCCAACGGTCATGGCTCCTGGGAGCTTTTGCAGACTGTAGGTGGAGGGCCAACACTTCCACGGCAACAAGGGGACAGGTGCACAAGGCCCTGGGAGGGGAGTGGGGCGCCGAGGTCCCAGCACCACAAGGCTGACCCCTTCTTGGGGTGCTGGGTGTGGCCCTGACACCTGCTCACTGGGAGACCCTGAGCAGAGGCCCCACGGAGGAAGAGGCCGGAGAAGGGTCCTGGGTGCCCCGCCCCCCAGGACCCACACAAGCCCACACAACTACCATCACGGCAGCCTGCCTTCACGAGGCTCCGTTCGTTCAGGAGAAAGGAAAGTTCTATCAGGGAAATAAGAGACTTGGGGCCTACGTGGCGGATGCTGAGCTCCCAGCATCCGCCTGCTCATGGCCGTAAGCCAGGGAAAAGCTCGATCTTGTGCCGAAATCCCAACCGCCTGCAGCAGCAAGCCGGGATCCCGGCGAGGGTCTGCATCCCTCCATCTGATAGACATCTTTCCCCAGCAGGCCGGGCGTGGGCACAGGAGGCGGACAGAACTTCTGCTGCTGCCTCGGGGCCACGACCCCACGTCTGACCCCTGGGAGCAGGTCTGAGCAGGCATGGGGGAGGCGGAGGGGGGCGGGCAGGACACCCACTGCCTAGGTAGCTGCCAGCCCCCAGATGCCCAAACACAGGCACCCTGACAACCTCCCCCTCTGTACATGTGGGCATGGGACCAGTGGACACAGCTACGGGGGGCCTCCCTTGTGACCCTGGGGTGCCCCCAGGCAGGACGGAGTAGAAGGGCCACCCCTCTGCAGCCTGAGCATGGGCACATTTCCCCCAAGTCCGCGGCCAGGTCCACCACTGGTAACTGAGGTGTATTTTCCCGATGGGACAATGTGGCCAGGACAGCAGGGGCCATGGGGTCAGGGACATTCCTGTCTTCGTGGAAAAGAGGCCACAAGCAAGGCCCAGTTGGACCACAGAACAACCTGGCAAACAGCATCCTGAACTCGGGGCTCGGGTGCTCACCCCGCTTCTCCAAGGGAACCGTGAAACAACAGTGGGACAGGGAAAGACTCACAAGGCCACTGACCCGAGGCTTCGGGTCCAGATCACGGTCCTGGCCTACGCTCTGCCGTCCAGTGACTGCAGCGAGCAGGATGGGCACCTACTCCAAAGCAAAGGCCCCTGAGCCTTAACGACGGCCCCCACCATCCCCAGTCCTCCCGGTGCACTTCGGCCTCCGCTCCCGCAGCCCAGCCCACACCCCGTCCCCAACCCACGCCAGGCCCCCGTGGAATGGAAGGTGCCCCAGACCCCAGCCGGGTGAGACCCCAGCCCCAAGGAGCCAAGGGAGCCAGCACGACGGTGGCCAAGCCCTTCTGCCACACAGGACTGAAAACCATATAAGGTTCCCAAACCAGCCTTGCAATTCGATGCCTGGCTCTACACCTGAGCGGGGGCGCAGTGGCCGCGGGGGTGTGGGGTTGGGGGTGAACCATGCACTCTGCCCCATCCTGCTAGGCTCTGGGAACTGCCCACACAGCCCACGCAGGGGCGAGGCACGGGGCAGCAGTGGTGGGGGCTATGCTCCGTGCCGGGGCCCCGAGCCTCCCAGCAGCCGCCCAGCGGGCAGACAGGGTGCCGCGGGCTTCCGAGCAGGACAGCCAGGACAGTGGCGCCAAGCCTGCTGGTCGCCTAGCAACAGGGCCAGGCAGCTGAGCCCTCCCTAGGGTTGGTTCCCAGAGAAACGCTCTGGGCATTCTGGCCGCCACATATGGGGGGGAGGGTGGTATGGCAGGGGAAGGGGAGGGGAGATTAAGCCCAGGATGGGTACAAGGGAGAGAGAGGCTGGAGGGCCTGGCCAAGCCAGCTGGCCCCCCAGACCTCGTGCAGGGCTGACTACAGCCTCCCATCCCCGCCCCACCCACACCACAGAAGGCCCTCGTCCTAACGGTCACGACCCCTCTGTGCCAGCCACACTCAGCAGGACTACAGCCGCCTGTCCCCCTGCCCGGCATCCCCCCTGCACTGCCCTCAGCCTCCAGCCTCTAACCTGCCATCCCTGTGCTGCGGACGTGCTGGGGATGAGGCAGAGCCTCATCTGCCTGTGGGCACCAGCCAGGCCCAGGAGGGTACAAGGTGCGCCCCAGACAGGACAGGACCAGGTGGCAGGAGCAGGGAGGTCTCCATGTGGGTGACAGTGGGGGTGTGCGATCCACTTCCCAGCCTCAATCTGCCTGCCTGAGGGCCAAAACAGCCCCTTCTTCAGCAACTGTGCATTCCACACCATCTCTGGGACAGGCCCAGTGCTGGCCCCAAGAGCTCACAGACAACCGGGGGGGACACCCCAAGGCCACGGAGCGAGGATTAGGTCCATGACCGCAAAGTTCCAGGGGATGCCTCAGATGGCTATGGGGCAGGTGGGCAGTTTTGGGAGTGACGGGGGAAGGAAGGCCCCAGTCAGCTGGGACATGGGTGGGCCCTGGAGTGGGGGCGGGGGGCAGGGCTCATGCTGGACCTCAGGGTGCAGTAAGCACTCTCCCCTGCCGTCTCCCCCCAGCCAGCCTACCTGTACGAGGGGCTTGTCACCCTCCAGCAGCCTCACCTTGGTCTCCAGCTGCCTGATGTAGGTAGACGAGGGATCTGTAACGACACAAGTGGGGAGCCCATTAATCGCGGCAAACTCGGTCTCCAGTGAGAGACCCACAAGCCTGCCTGAAGCCTCCGGGCCAGGGTTTCCAGGACCTGCAGGAAGGATGGGGGTTCCCTGCCTGTTCCCTTGGCCTTTGTGCTGCTTCACATCCGGAAAGTACTCCCTAGCATCCCCTGACGGGACACTCACAGCCAGGGAGCAGCGCCCAGCAGGGCATGGGGTCCAGGGAGCCCCCTCCCCAGCACAGTGGAGAAAATGAGTCTGCTGAGCATCCTGGGTCAGTGTCCGGGGTTCCTCTGCTCCCTCACGCCTGACACACAGGAACGTCTCAACAATTTGCAGCCAGAGGGGGCTGTCCATAGCGCAGGTGAGATGCCATCCTTCCTGACGGACTCTAAGGACAAGGGCAGCCAGGGGCCGGGGCCCGGGCCAAGCCAGTGACACGCTCCCCAACCACGCACCCCCAGTTTCGGAATGCGGCAGGGTTCCTGAAACCCACCCTCCCTCACCACACTGACCAGTTTTACAATCCCATCAGACAGGCAGGCAAAACTCCACCACCCTAACTCCCAGATCAGCTCGGCCGGCAGAGGAGAAAAGCAAGGACTGAGTCACTCCAAGCCAGGCTGGGATGAGGGGGACTACCAGGGTGGGACCCGAGGACAACCAGGAGCAGAGGGGCCCGGGGATGGATGCAGACCACGGGGCAGGGAAGGCGAGGGGACCAGACCATCTCGGCAGGTGCAGTCGTGACATCAGGTCCCAAGCCAGATGCACGGGGCACCTCCCTGCCTGGTCTGCAGCCACCCAGTATGGGACAGGCTAGGCGCCTCTCGTCCATACCAACACCTCACTGGAGCTCACACGGCCCTGACACCGGCCTACACCCCCGTCCTCTGGGCCAGTCACGGCTCCCCTTCTGCACCCACCTCCACCCGACAGGACACAGAGCCCATTACACCAGTCTTTTAGCTCAGAAGTCACCAGAATTTCGACCAAAGCCACCTCTCTACACCGCAGCCTGGGGAGACGGACCCCATAGGACCTTGAACACACCGGGGTGGGCAAAGGGGATGGGTGCTGTGCAAGGACACGCTGGGCTATCATGCAATGGCAGGAAAATGAAGACTCTGTCCATCCCCAGCACACAGCTGGCACAGCCAATGAGCCCGGGCCCTTGGGGACACGGATGTCACGCCCCTCCCACTGGTGCTCACCTGGCAGGCCCCCACCCAGAATGCCATGACCTCACTCCACGGGGGCTCGGCCTGGGCCTCAGAGCTCCTGCCCATCGGGAAGGCCATTCTCTGAGGGCACCCCCGCTTTTGCACACAGGTGCCCCTCCGCCCAGTGAGCGACCTGCTGTGGGGCACTCTGTTGTCCAAGGCCCCTCAGGAGCTCCGCCCACCCAGCGCTGGACCAGGCCCAGGAGTAGCAGCCCAGCCCGGGGCAGGAATTGGGGGCCGCCGGGCCCACCCACCAGCTGCTGGGGAATTACACAACCGGCTCCTCCCGCCCCAGGTCAGCACCAGTCAGCACTCAGGAATGCGGGGCCTTCTAGAGAGGGAGAAGGGCCACTCCCCACCAGGCCTGCCACCCTCAGCCCCGGGGATGGCACTGGTAAGGACCTGGCAGCTGGGCTAGGGGGCGGGGGGTTCCAGGGAACCCCCCACATCAGGGGACTGTGCCCCCCAAACCACCTTGCTGAGCCCCCAGCTCTACAGAGCTCCCGCTGATGGCCAGGAAATCACAGTTTGGAGAGCTGAAGGAGCTTGTTCACGGCACAACTCAGGGCAGCAGGAGGTGACCCCGGGGGCCTCCCCGCTTGGACCCTGCGTGCACGTCTGGCAATCGGCAGATCCCACCTGACCAGGCGGGGGACCCTGGCCAGCCTGGTGGCCGCAGCTGTACAAAGGCCTTCCTCGCACCCTTCTCCAGCCAGCGGTCACCCCAGTCCATGCCCCGTGCCTGCCTCCCCTGCCCACCGCAGGGCCTCCGTTCACTCAGCCAGCCAGGACGAACACTTCTTCCCACATCACTCCCATGAGAACGCGCCTGATGGGAAAGGCCTCAGCGCTCAGGGTGTGCCAGGCCCCCCCAGGCACTGAGAGGGAGATGGGGTGCAGCCTGGGTTCCCCACCTTCCTGGCTCCTCTGCGTGCTGTCAGCAAGAAGGGTTCCCCGGGACACCCACTGGGGAAAAAGGGCAAAACGACCAAGATCCCCTCAGCTCTCTCACCTTCACACGTTAAGACAAGGAGACCCAAATACCTAGCAGACCCCTGCATGGTCTCCCTCCAGGTGAGCTCAGTGGGGGAGAGGAGACCCACCACCCACCAGGCAAGGGTCCAGCAGACCTCCCCACTCTCCAGAGGGACAGTGTCCCCCCCTGCTGCCGGGGGAGCTGGGGAACCCCAGGCCCAGCCTGCCAGACCCTCTCCCCACCATCCAGCTCCACCCCCCACCCCCCTGTAGGTCAGTGCTCAGGACCCCAAGGGTCTGGCCGCTCTGAGTGGAGCTGACAGCACCGAGCCATTGAGAGACGCTGGTCCCAGAAAGATGACAGGTTCCTGTGCACGCCTCTCTCCGGGACGCTGCACCACTGCCTGGTCCTTGGACGCCACGACAAGCCACCCCCCCTACCCCACTCTCCGCAGCCCCCACCGTGAGCCCACGCTGCCAGACACGGGAGAGGACCCAGGACAGGACAGGACCCGTCCCCTCTGCGCACCCAGGCCACTCACTCACGGCTCTGTGCGGCCACTGAGCCACAGGAAAGGGGGGCCTGCTGCCCCTGCCCCCAGTTCCCTGGTACAGGGACAGTTCTAGCTCCCTCTGCCAATTTCTCTGGGGTCAACAGGGAGCTCCCAGCACTTCCCTTCTCGGTCAGACTGCGGCCAGAGTCGTGGACCAGGCCGGAGTCAGCAGATGCACCAACCGGCCCCAGCACCCTCGCTGGGCAGCAGGCAGGTCTGACACACCGCAGGTCCCATCAGAGCAAGGGGATCCCCCGGCCCCAGCAGGGTCCGCCACACTCCCCAGGATGGCAGTGAGGACAGAAGGGGGGGGCCAAGGGCCGGAGCAAGGAGAAGGGGCAGAGGCAACGCCATGGGGGACAAATGACCCAACAACAGCCCACCTGCCCACCCACAGCCACCAGGGCCCACGGGCCGGCTGTCCTCCCTCACAGGCCACATGCGGACACCGGCCAAGGGGCTGTCCCTGTGCAACCCGCCGACTTCTGTCCGCCCCGAACCCCAAGCAGCTTCAGAGAACCAAGTCCACTTGAGACCGCCGGGCTTCAGTGGGCTTTGCAAACCACGGGGGCAGTCTGGAAACATCTTAAATCACCCGGTGCTTCCAATGGCAACCATCCTAAAGAATAAATTCTAATAATAAAGACAGTATAGCGGCCGCGGCCAGAAATGGAATTAACTGTTTGTCCGGGAGCAGCAGAGGGTCCAGCCATCACTCAGAAGATGTTCAGGAAGGTTCTCTTCTCGACAACACGGAAAAGCCTTCACACGCCGGTGGAAAGCTCCGGACCCAAAGCGAGAGGTAGAACTGCTCTCAACGTTTACAGATACCTCTGCGTTGAAGTGAATTCCGGAAGGAGGCATGTGGACATGTGGCTGGTGGTGCTCACAGAAGGGAACAAGGGGGTTTTTATTTATTCACACCCCTTCTCGTTAATTTTCAAATAATCTATTTCCAAAGTAGGGGGAAAAGTCTTTCTTTTATAGAAAAGGAGAAAAGATTAAATTACGGCAATGGCGCAGTGCAGGGCCCCCCGGTGACACCACGGAAGCAGAAGGGTGGCCGGAGGACAGCCCATCGGAACTCTCCCAGCTCCGCTCTGGGGGCCCCTCCCGAGGCCCAGGGACAGCCCGGTCTGCCCATACCCGGGGAGGTGAAGAACATTCGGGGCTGCCTCCCAATGTCCTAGAGGGGCCTCCTCTCCTTCTGCCACATGCAGCTCCCCAGACCAGGCTCTGACCCCTGCCCGGAGCCCAGGAGCCAGACCCCAGGCTGCCTGTGGGTCAGAGCAGGTGTCCTGCGGCAGGGCAGGGTGGCTGCAAGACAGGCCTTCCGGGGGAGGGGTGGGAGGCCCCCGAGGGCTTGGCTCCCTGGGAGGATGATCCTTCCCAGCAGCCTTGGGCAACTCGTGATCCCGCGGGGTGCCTCGGAGCCCCAGCCTCTCAGAGATGAGCGTGTAATTAAATTAATCCCAGGGTTTGCAGTGTCGAGGAACAGGGCCCCAAGGGAGGCATGCGTCATTTCCCGGCTTGGCTGCTTGCGGGGAAAATGAAGGAGGTGACTACAGAAGGGACCCCAGGATGGGCAGGCCAATGTGTCCCCTCAGACCTTCCCCAGGCCCCCCTGGACCAATTCTGGAGGAGTCACAATCCAGCTTCCATCTGGGCCGGGGAAGAGGGTGGCAGCGAGGGGCGGAGGCAGGCAATGTTCTTGCTTAAAGCGCCAGAACGTCAGCCCTCGCTTCGGCCTCCTGGGGGATCCTGTGTTCCCCGGGAAGGGAGGAGGGCTGTGCAGCCCGCGGATGGGAGGGACTCATGGAGCCCGCAGGTCTGCGAGCTCCCCAGTCCCCCTGCCTTCTCAGAGGCTGAGTCTGGGGCCAGGTCCCATCGCTCCCCACTCTGATATCCTGATGGCCTCCTCAGGTAGGCAGCGTGGTCGCAGACTCACCGTTAGTCCTCATGGTAAGAACTTGGCAGCCAGAGCAGGTCACGCCATCCCATTAGCCCTGGAAACCCTCCTTGCCAACTCCGCTCTAGGCACGTAGTAGCCTCCTGTGTGGGAAAAGCCTGAAGACCTAATAGGAAGGCATCCTGCCAGGGGTCAGTCTCCTAGCCTACAGGTCCCTGCCAGCAACAGGCGCTCAGCCTGAAACAGCACCCACGGCCCGCACAGAGCACCCCGACACGGGACTGCCAGAGACACCGACAGCACAGCGTCCTGGGTGTGAAGGGCAA